TGGGTTTGAACCTCCAGGCTTCTGGTTAGCAGTCAAGTGCCTTAGGCACTACACCCCCAGATTAGTAGAATGCACTGTAGGGTGTCATAGGCTGTCATCTTTTGTGGAGTAAATCTCCAGGAATTTTCTCCTGCGGAGCTACCAGGTGGGTTAACCAGCAACCTTTTGGTTAGCAGCTGCATGTTTAACTGTTGTGTCATGAGCGCTCCAATTTTCTCGTTCAATAAAAAAATACTTATCAGCTTAGTACCACCACCACCTGGAGCGAATGATGACTTCCCTGGCACCTTCAGGGCATCATCCGTGATCCCAATTTTTCTAGCATGCGTTCTCGGTTCTCTCTACAGAACCAATACATGGTACCCAGAGGTTCGAGTGTTGCTTCTAAATGACGCTTCGCTCAATGACTGAATCTTCCTGGTGTCTTTGCTGAGAGCCCTGACTGCCTCTTGTAAGCAGCAGTCCTTCCCAGTTGTCACTCATCCCACCGTGGGGTCAGCGTGCACAGGCTCCAGTATACAAAAGTCTTTTTGCGTTGCTTGGCTATTGTTCATTGCATTGTTGTTACGTGCTGTCAAGTGGGCTCCAAGTCACCAGGGTCTTCAATCATTGAAGAATGCCAAGGGTTCTTGAGAACACTTAAGTTGGAGGACTGATGAGCTCTTCCTTTCTCCTGCGTGTGTTGCATTGCTGTTAGCTGCCATCACATCAGCTCCCACTCATCACAATCCTATGCACAACAGAATGAAACACTCCCCAGTCTCGTGCCAATCTCGCAGTCGCTGGATGTTGGAGCCCATTGTTGCAGCCACGTGGTCCCTGCATCTCATGAAGGTCTTCTTCTCTTTCAATGACCCTCTACTTGGGTGTTGCCACTGGGTCAGTTCCAAGTCATAGGGACCCTGTGTCCAACAGGACCGACTACTGTCTGGTCCTGCCCCACCCTCACAATCACTCCTGTGTTTGAGCTCACTGTGGAAGCCACTGAGTCAACTCATGTCATTGGGGGTCTTCCTCTTTTTTGCTGACCCTCTGCGTTACCAAACATGATATTCTTTTTCTGGAACTGGTCCCTGCTGATCACATGTCCAAAGGACAAGAGACCAAGTCTTGGCCATTCTTGCTTCCAAGGAGCATTCCAGCTGTACTTCCTTCAAGACAGATTTGTTCATACCTCTGGAAGTCCATGGTACGTTCAGTATTCTTTGCCAATACTACAATTCAAATGCATCAACTCTTCTTTGGTCTTCCTTATTCACTGACCAGCTTTCATATGCATATGAGGCTGTTGAAAAGACCACAGCTTGGGTCAGGCGCACCTTGGTCTTCAAAGTGACATCTTTGCTCTTTAGCACTTTAAAAGAGGTGTTTTGCAGCAGATTTGCCCAATGCAACAGAATCATCTAGTTTCTTGACTGCTGCTTCCATGGGTGTTGATTGTGGATGCAAGTGCAATGAAATCCTAGACAGCATCAGTGTTTTCTCTGTTTTTCATGATGTTGCTTTTTGGTGCAGTTGTGAGGGTTTTGGCTTTCTCTGAGTAGTCCACACTGAAGGTTGTAATCTTTGATCTTCATCAGTCAGTGCTTCGAGTCCTTTTCAGTTTCAGCAAGCAAGGTTGCACCAGCCAGGTAGTGCAGGTCATGAATGAGTCTTCCCCCAATCCCGATGCTGGGTCCTTCTTCGGGGACGCCACCTTCTCAGATTATTTGCTCAGCATGTAGATTGAACGGCTATGGTAAAAGGACACAACCCTGTCACACACCTTTCCTGACTTTAACTACTCACTGTCCCCTTGTTCTGTTTGAACAACTGCCTCTTGGTCTGTGTACCGCTTCCACTTGAACACGATTGAGTGCTCTGGAATTCCCAATTTTCACAATATTGTCCATAACTTGTTGCGATCCATACAGTTGAATGCCTTTGCATAGTCCACAAAACACAGGCAGGCATCTTTCTGGTATTCTCTGCTTTCAGCCAATGCCCTTCATCTGCCAGGATACCCCTCATTCCAAGTCCTCTTTTGAATCCAGCTTGAATCTGTGGCAGTTCCCAGTTGATGTATTGCTGCAACGGTTTTTGAAGAATCTTCAACAAACTTTGACTTGCACATGATAGTAATGATACTGCTCTGTTGAGTTCTGCATTCTGTTAGCTCACCTTTCTTTGGAATGGGCACAAATATGGTTCTCTTCCAGTCAGTTGGCCAGGTAGCTGTCTTCCAAACTTCTTGGTATAGAAGAGTGAGTGCTTCCAGCTTGCATCCATTTGTTGAAACGTCTCACTTTGGTATTCCATCAATTCCTGGAGTCTTGTTTTTCACCGATTCCTTCAGTGCAGCTTGGACTTCTTCCTTCAGTGCTATTGGTTTTTAGTCATACGCTACCTCCAGAAATGGTTGAACATTGACCAGTTCTTTTTTGGTGCAGCAACTCTGTGTGTTCCTTCCATTTTATTTTGATGTTTCCTGCCTCACTCAATATTCCACCCATAGAATCCTTTAGTATTTCAACTCAAGGCTTCAGTTTTTTCTTCACTTCTTTCAGCTTGAGAAATGCTGGGCATGTTCTTCCCTTTGGTTTTCTGACAACTCCAGGGCTTTGCACATTTTATTATAATAGTTTGCTTTTTCTTCTGTCACCACTCTTTGAAATCTTATGTTTGGCTCTTTTGCGTCGTCATTTCTTCCTCTCCTTTTAGGTATTCAAGAGCAAGTTTCAGAGTCTCTTCTGACATTCATTTTCTTTCCTGTCATTTTAATGACCCTTTGCTTTCTTCGTGTGTGGTGCCCTTGATGTTATCCCACAACTCATCTAGTCTTCAGTCATTAGGGTTCATTCAATATATTAAATTTATTTTTGAAATGATCTTTAAATTCAGTTAGGATGTACTCGAGCTTGGTCTTTGGCTCTTGAGGACTTGTTTTAATTTTCTTTAGCTTCAACTTGAACTTGCACATGAACCATTGATAGTCTGTTCCACAGTCAGTCCCTGGATTTTTCTGACTGATGATATTGAACTTCTCCATTGTCTCTTTTCACAGATAGAGTTGATTTAATTCCTGTGTATTCCATCCAGTAAGGTCCACATGTATGGTTACTGTTTCTGTTGTTGAAAAAAAAAAAAAAAAGGTATTTGGAAGGAATAATTCTTTGCTCTTGCATATATCATGCATCTCTGCCATTTTTATCACCAAGACTATATTTTCCAGTAAAGCATCTGGCTGCTAACCAGAAGGTAGGCAGTTCAAACCCACCAGCTGCTCCATGGAAGGAATATGGGGCAATCTACTTCCGTAAAGATTTACAGCCTCGGAAACCTAATGGGGGTTGCTATGAGTCAGAATTGACTCCATGGCTGTGGGTTTCGTGTCCATTTATTTACTTATTTATTTATTTGGGATCCTTCTTCTTTACTTCCAACTTTTGCATTCTAATTACCAGCAATTATCATTGCATCTTAATTGCATGTTTAATCAACTTCAGACTGCAGATGTTGGTTAAAAAAAAACAAAAAAAAAAGCCTTTAATTTCTTCATCTTTGGCATTAGTTGTTGGTGCATGAATCATGATACCCTTGCTGAATGACTAGTCCCTCTTGATGACATGTCCAAAGTAAGGGATGAAGTGTCACCAACCTCACTTTGAAGGAGGCTCCTGGCTGTACTCCTTCTGGCACGGATTTGTCCGTTCTTCTGGCAGTCCCCAGTATAGTCCGTATTCTTCCCCAACACCACCGTTCAAAGGCATCAATCCTCCTTCATGGTCCAGTTTTCACATGCTTATGAAGGGAAACCACTGAAAATACCGTCGCTTGGGTCAGGTGCCCTTTAGTCCTCAAGGCATCTTTGCTTTTTAACACCTTAAAGAGGTTTTGCAGCAGATTTGCCCAGTAAATTGCTTGATTTCTTGACTGCTGCTTCCATGGGCATTGATTGTGGATCCAAGTAAAATGCTTGTCCATTGCATTGTATGTTGTCCATTGCGTCTGTCTCCTATTTCCATTTAACAAATGAGCTGCCAGGCTCCCCGGGGCAGACCTGTGCCTTCCTTTGTGAAGATGTGCCTGTGTTACAGCTGAGTGCTTCCTCCCCTTCAGGCAAGGTCTTGGATGTTCTGGATGAGATGAATCTGGCCAATAACACCCTCGTGTACTTTTCATCGGACCACGGAGCGCACGTGGAGGAAATATCCACCAAAGGAGAGATTCATGGAGGGAGCAATGGCATCTACAAAGGTGAGTGGGAGGCACCACTGTGAAGTCACTCACAGCACGGTGCACTCTAACAGTGGTATCATTTCCTTCTGGTTACAGAAAGTCACCAAAGACCTTTCTTTAGAAAGTAATTTATTTTATTTTTGTTGTTGTTCTTGACAATATACGTAACCAGAACATACATCCAGTTCAACAGTTTCCACAGGTACATTTCAGTGACATTGATTACATTCTTTGAGCTCTGTGTCCAATTTCACCCTCCGTTTTTGCGTTGTTCCTCATCCATTGGGAGCTCTGGTGGCGTAGTACCTAAGGAATGGGGCTGATAGCCAGAAGGCTGGTGGTTCAAGGCCACAAGCCACTCCTCAGAAGGAAGACGACTGGGCAATCTACTTCCATAGAGATACCACCTTGGAAACTCAAGGAGGAGTTGCTGGGAGTTGAATCAATCAGCTTGGTTTTTGGTTTTTGTCCTTATCCGTTAACATGAAACTCACTGCCCTCTGAGTTTTCTGTGTAATCTTTCAAGTTACTGTTGTCAGTTTGAATCCCATCTACATAGTGTTAAAGAGCATGAGTGTTCGAGGCAGGCGCTCTGTACCAGACAAAGCTTTTCCACGTGAAAACGTCTC